TAAATCCTAACCTTAAAGGCAAATTAACTAAGATTGTAGTGTCTCTCAGCTACACCCCCCTCCATGACCCTCTGCTGCCTACAGCCTCCTGTTGTTATTCCAGCTTCTCCACCCTGTGTTGTCAAAGTACAGTTTGTAAATCAGCCCCGCCTACTGCCTGCCGCCAGTAGTCATGTCAAACAGCCATGGAGGAGCTCTGGGCAGCTAAAAGTCTGAACCATCTCTGGGTGACGGGTTTTTGATCCTGTTGCAAACTTTGTCCCCAGTTATGACATGAGGCAGACCAACACTCACACCCCAGGTTTCTGACCTTGTTGGTCATCTGAGTGTGTGCACACGTCCTGGAGACAGGGATGCTGTAGATGATGCTGATGTGAGCTGGCGGGCGGGATTCTTGGCTTTATGGCTGGCATTAACATTACACCTTACTTCAATTATGCAGAAAACACATTTACATCCTGCCATCACAGTTTACAGCTTCTGGAGTTGAGGCAAAGTTTCTTCCATTCATTAGACACAAAGTCGATTAAGAAACAAGGCTGTGTGTCTCAGCTGCTCAGCAGATTGTGTTTTGGAGGTTCACAACCTGTTGGGTCTCGTTTTGTCCCCACAAACAGGAGCCAGGTATATTTATGTGTTGTGTTTGTGTCCTGTTTCATTTGTTTAACTGAAACTGTCCATGGTCATAAAGTGAGATCAAATACTGATCAGCCTCTTTAAAAATAGTCATTTTATTAAACTGAGTGTTTTTGTTCCATTTTAAACAAAGAAAATTTAGGCCCCTTCTCTATAAAAGAGCACAACTGAACCAAAAATCTGGTGTAATTGAATTTCAGCAGTTGTCTCTTTTTGCCTATTAGGCTGCAAATAATAAATTTTAACTGTCAAGAAGAAATTCTACTTTCCCACAGTGTGTTAGTTTTCCAATCTGATGAAACATCCTGAAAATATACTTAAAAATAAAAATGTTTAATTTGTAGTTGGATGATATTTACATGATTTTCTCTCCATTTTGTTTCGTCCCTTATCAAATCTCGTCTTGCTGCTTCCAGCCCAGCGACACAGACGTAAGTGATCGTTCATTTAAAGCTTGTATGTGATTCAGTGTCTCGACTTGTTTCTTACCCATTTTTAGGCTTCGGTGGTGAAAGACAGAAAATTCACCGAAATGAATGTAATAAAAATGCACATCATTGTGATATCATGTGCGTCACATTGTCTCTGTTTTTCTCTCAGTGTGCGAACGTTGACGGCGTGTGTCCACTCAGCTGTGAGAGTGTTGTAAGTAGCCTCCTTCCTCTGTCTGCTCCTCACCAACATCAGGTCTCTGAAAACCTGAACAGAAACGCTTGTTTCTGCTGCTTCCTGTTTAGGATCTGAACTGTTTCCTGGTTGACAACAACGGCTTCATCCTGCTGTCCAAAGAGAGGAGCGAGGTGAGATCTGCCGACTGTCTCCTGGGCGCATGTTGGTGTCAGTTTGTCACAGTTGGCGTTAAGTCTGCCTTATGGTTTTTTTTTCCCCAGCCAAACCTTTGTTTTTTTGACAAAGCATGTGTGAGCAGCGGACCTTTGGGTCTTGGATGTTGCCGTTTCCATGAAGGAACCAGACTTAGACTCTGATTAGAAAGCTGAGCTGCTACAAATTGTTCCACTAAAACAAACAGATAAAGAGCAAGACAGACCGGCAGTGTCACCATGCTTTTCCACCTGAAACCATCAGCAGGCACCAAACCTCCACAAAAGCCTCAGTTTTATTACATTCACTCCCAAATCACAAATCCTGGATGTGATGATCTTTTCAGAACTAACACTCTCTTGAAGTTGATTGAAATGAACTGACCATGTGGATGGCAAAGTAAGAATTTCATTGTACAGGGAAACACGTTTCCTAACTGTGCATATGACAAACACTTTGACACAGCAGCTGACTGTTAACCTACTTAGAGTCAGGAAGACGATTCCTGTGACATCAGATTGAGTTTTGGCGTCACAGTTGTGGACGTGCTGCACATCAGTGTCGGGAGGTGATTTCTCTGCTTCATTTAATGTGCTCATAAACAACATCTGGGCTGCTCACAGGATTTGAGGACAGTTTGGGTCTTAATCTGTGTGTGTGGTGCATTAGTGAAATACAGCAGCTGCTGCATTCGCTGACCTCTTCTGTACCAGAGTGGAGACACGATAGGTCTGCCCCAGCCTGCAGCTTCCGACACCGACTTTAACCTGTTCTTTAAATTCTTTGTGTTCATTGGGCTTAAGGTTGTGACTGCTGTGGTTTTGTGTTGCTTTGTTCAGTTAACGTCAGCTGGTCACACTTTGCTGGGGTCCTGTACACCTCCACTCTTACAGCGTGTTCACACGTACAGACACAAAGTAGCTGGCTGTGTCGGTCAAATTGCGTCAATTCCATCAAGTGTCAAAGTGCTTTTATGCATTTTTATTTATTGATGTTATGAGAACTTAAGTCTGTGGTAAATGGGTTTACCGTTTGCTATGAAGCTGCTTTGAGTGCATAAACATGCCAAGGAATTAAAAAAATCATAAAATTGGTATAAAAAAAAAGTTTCGTTTAAGAGCCAGGACTGAAAACTTTGGAACGTGCAGTGTTACATCTAGCAGTCCTCCTCATCACTGGTGTGCTTCCACCACCAGTCGATCAATGGAAATGTGTGAAATCATCAGTAGGATGTGCGTCTCGCTGAAAACAGGCCCAGTCGTAAAAACACTGCTCCATAGTGCCACCAGTGGTCAGAAACTCCACCGGGGCAACTTAATAGGAAAAAAATGCGTTTCATTTTCCTCACAGCTATTTTAAACGCAGTCAGTTATTTTCTTGACTCTACAAGGTGACATTTGTTATAGTCATAAGAAGAGTCTGAGTTACAGCACTTTGTATGAAAACCACTGCTCATGTTTTACTACTGTGATTAAATATATTACTGAGGTAATAATTACAGCATCAAAAAAATGTGGCTCCTGTATAAAGGGTGGCTTTTGGTTCCATTTTGGATTGTTTATATAAGATGACATTTTTTTTTACTCTGAAGTGCAGGGCATACCGACACACATCAGCTGAGGGCACACAGCAGACGCAGCATTGGGTAGTCAAAGTGTCGGAGCCAGGATTTGTGATCTGGCAGTGAATGCCATAAAACTGCTGCTTGTTTAGAGTCGGTGCCTGTAGATGCTGAAATGCATCTATTCTCAGCTGGCACCTCCAGCTCTTTGTTCTGCTTGTTTTACTGTCTCAGTTTGTTGCAGCTCGGTTTCCTAAGCTGCTCTTTGTTCACATTCAGAAGCCAGGTTCTGCCAGGAAAAGGTTTTCAGCAATGATTTGTTTTTAACACTAGTCAGCTCATTTATCTGCTGTATTACTGTGTGTCATGTGGGTGGGCCACTATAAGGCAACGAGTAAATAATGCTTTTAGTCGTTAATTGTTACTCCTAACAATTAACGTGACCTGTTTTAGCAGCTAACTTGCTTCATATCTTAAAATTCTGATTTATTCTTAACTTGTTTGACCTATCTTACAATTATGACGTACAAGGTCGAGCGTCTGACTTTCTAACTTCGGACTGTTGGAAAAGTCAACATTTCTACTAATGTCTCATAAATACAGTGGGCATTTATTTTACTTTCCATCAGTTTTTCTTTTCCTGGCCAAAATGAACTTTCATACGGTGCAGTTACTGTGAAGCGTGTGTGCGTCGTGACATGCAGCGGAGAGCCTGCTGTCCATCTGACAGCTGCTCGTTGGCTCCGGATTAACTCGGACACAGCAGCTCCCAGTTCCTGCCCCACATCTCTCCAGCTGGGGAGTTTATTTCTGTTTCACTCATTTAATCTCTCTCTGGAGTTGAACCCCTGATGTTTGTCTTCCACGATGGCCTCAGTGAATGTGAGGCTGCCAGCTGTGCAGCAGCAACACCTGGATCTGCTGAGGCTGAATGAGGTTTAGTTATCACCGAATGACCCCGTCACATCCTAGTCAAATAGACCTGCAGGCGTAGTCCAGCGCTACTGGCTGAATGTAGATGCAGCTCCGGGTCCTAATGACGGATGGTCTGGGTGACAGAGACACTGTATAAAAACATATAAATGTGACCAGGCTGGAAACAAAGTGACCAGTCTGATCAGGCCAGAAAGTCTTTGTCCTTTAGACGGTGTTTGACAAACTCCAGTGGCTTCGTCAGCCTTTCACTAACAGTGACTCGACCATAAGGGCCAGACTGACTGAGAAGCTGCTGAGACGCTCGTCCTCCAGCAGCGTCTCTGTCTCTGCAGACAATGTCTGAAGTTCTGTCAGAAGGACCGCTGGGTCCTCGGTCTCCTCCCTGACCATGGCCCTTGTTCCTTAGTCCGGTAGGACGCCGACTCCAGGAAGAGTCCTGCTGGTTCCAGACTCCTTCCACATCCCAGTCACTGAGGCCACTGTGCTCCTGGGGACACTCAGAGCTTCAGACATGGTTTGATCCCCTGGTCCTGATCTGGGCCTCACCACAGTCTGACCACAGAGAGCTCCTGGACTTGTCCTGACCTGCAGCATGAACTGTGGGACCTTATACACACAAATGTGTTGTTCTAAACTCCGTCCAGTCAGCCCAGTTTGCCACAGCTGGACCCCAGTCAGGTTCTAGACTCATCTCAACAGAGCAGAGGCTCTGGAGACTTTTGAAAATGGCAGATTTCAGTTTCTGATTTTTAATACATTTGCAAACATTTATAAATTTTGAAAAGGAGTTCACGATCTGAAAATTGTATTTAGTTTCTTTTTGAGGGGAATAACTTTGACTTTTGACAAAAGCAAACATGGTGAGATTTGTTGTGAAGGTAAAACTCAACGTACTTGTGACTTGCTGGAGAAGCACAGTGAAGAACAGATGCAGCCTTTGCACACAGCAGCACAGTCCAAGCTGGAATCATTTACTGTGGACCTTTATTTGTCATAATTTGCATGTCCGCACATTCCCATTGGCCTTACTAGGCAGATGTTATGATGAAGTGCTTCCTCCCAGTTTTGCTGAGCTCTGGAAGTTTGTGGAAACACCGGGCATCCTTCCTGATGCTAAAGCCACTGTGGCGTGAAAGTGTACCTTGTGTTCGTTTCAGGGTATGGTAAATATTTAATCAGCAGAGAAATGAAGGCAGTGCTGACTCCGAGAAGCAGGTCAGAGAGGAAATGTAGTGAGTAGTGACCAAGCAACACACAGGGGTTGTTGTTAGTGTTGGCTGTGTGCAGAGGAAACGTCTGTTTGATCAATGATGCTGTTTAAGAGCCTGCTGCAGGAGTCCACTGATCAGCCTCAGGGCCAGGAATGGGTTCAAGTGATAAACACAAGCTATAATGTCCTGAAATTAACAGGACCAACAGTGTGTAGCCACACTAGCAGCACCCTGGGGCTGTACTGATCGAACCTGAAGAGAAAGAGAAATCTCCACTATCCTTTGATTCACACCACTGATGGTGGAGAAAAAACTAAAGTTGGCCCAGAGGAAAGTTGTTATGGGCTTTTTCCTCTGTGCAGTGCAGGACAGTTCGGCACTGCAGTGTCAGACAGGGACAGACTTTCAGTCTAAGCTAGAAGTACCTTAGAACCATCATGCAAGTACCACGCAGCTACCTTACAACTGTCTTAAAACCTGTATGATACAGCTATCTTAAAACTACCATACAACTCCCATACTCGTACAATACAACTGTTATACAACAGCTAGTTGTGTGGTGGATATAAGGCAGTTTGTCTGAGCTGAATGCTAACATGCCTGCTGGATGATGTCGTCAGGCTCATGTTTTTCTCAGCAGAGCTACAGTTTGTTGGCGCATGAAGCTGCCTTCATTAAGCATGTTAACATCCAGCAAGCTAAAGCTTCTCTGTGCCATCTTAACATACTTTTAGCTTTAGCATTTAACAGGCTGTGTGTGCTGCTGTGAGCCCAGGCAGAAGGTTGACACGTTTACTGTTTGTTTGTTTATTCCAGCACATTTGCCCTCTGCTACTGCTGTCAGGTAAACAGAGGGCCATGTTTTAGTGTATTCAGCATCCGGCTGCTAATGCTCAGCAACCTGAGAGTCCTCCAGGGCTGCTGGGAAAGTCCCGTCCAGATGGAGATGAAGTGTGGGCAAAGAGCACCTCGTAAACGTTAACAGAGCTGCTGAGACAAAACACTCTGAATAATTCAGACTGTTGCTGCTGCCGAGGGCCAGAGGAGCGACACTGCAGACGAACACAGAAGGGACTCTAAGTTACTGAAACACTTCCTATCATCCGCTTTACTCCTCCACTCACCTCCCAGTGTTTTTCTGTTGTGTCCTACGACTCTGAGTAGCAGACTGGAGGAGGCACATTTCCTTCAGAAATTAAATCTTGTTTTTAATTCAGTTTTAGCTGTTATTCTTTAGGGAGTTTAATCTTCATTGGCAGCATTTCAATATGTGTAAGAGCTCCATATGAAATGCAAGTGTTTGTTTTAGGATTCAAAGCTAAATGTTGGTAAAAGGCTGGTGACTGATGAATGAAGTGCAGCAGCAGGGACACAGCCAAAAGGATCAAATTGTTATTGATCAGAAACATAATGAAAAGGGAATCTAATCAGTAAGAGCCGTATAGTCGAACTAGCAGAGGAAGGTAAAGGCTGTTTTCTACATGTAGAGCTACTGAGGTGTGGAAACTGCCTGCCTCTGCCCAGACCTCACAAACACACCTAGTAGCACCTACACAGCCAAGTAATCACCATGCTGCTAATCAGTCAGGTATGACTGCTCTCTGGACTCATTCCACAACGTTTCTGGTGTCCAGCAGTGTTGTGGAGACTCTGGTCACTCTCAGACAAACTTCAGCTGCGGTGATGTTTGATGTGTTGTGGAGACTCTGGTCACTCTCAGACAAACTTCAGCTGCGGTGATGTTTGATGTGTTGTGGAGACTCTGGTCACTCTCAGACAAACTTCAGCTGCGGTGATGTTTGATTTTGGAGAGCAGCAGCATCCTCTGTGGTCGACTGGTGAACCGAGATGTTTCCTTTAAGCCTTCAGCTGTCGCTCTGGACTAGCAGTCAGTCAGAGCACAATAACCCAGGAAACAGGTGATAGGAACACAGTGTTCAGTGGAATAAAAGAAAACAAAAATCATTCCTTGGTTGTGATATAAAGGCCATCATTCAGTCTGAGCTGTCCAGGCGGAGAAAATAAGGGTCTTTATGAGGATAAGGATAATCACCTATATTGGCCAAGTATGTTACACACAATGATTTTTGAATCGATCCTTCAACCTTCTGGTTGGGAGATGACTGCTCTACCCACCGCACCACTGTCGCCTCCCACCTTATGAGAACATGGCCCTGTGGTGTTGTCGCAACAACCTCGAGCTGAACACGCTCAAAACAATGAAAATGGTAGTGGACTTCAGGAAGAGCCCCCACCACTCCCATCAGCAGTAGAGTCCTTCAAGTTCCTGGGCTCCACTGGACACAACCTGTTTGAACTCCTCCCCTCTGGATGGCGATACAGGTCACTGTACACCAAGCGTGCCATCGCTCTGATCAACACTTAACATATGTGTGTGTGTGTGTGCATATATGTATATATAAGTGCATATATGTATATATAAAGTACTTTATTTTTACTGGAGTCAAACCCCTCGTGTATCCAGCACACGTGGCCAATAAAGATGATTCTGGATTCATTATTTCTCTTTTAATCATCAATGTTGTTTTTGGATATAAACTGTAGAAATACTGTGTGTGTCTCTCTGTGGCTGAGTGTTTACATGGTGTCACCTTCCTGTTGTCTCTTCCAGGTTGGTCGGTTCTTTGGCGAGGTGGACGGGTCTGTCATGGCGTCGCTGGTCAAGATGGGAATGTTCAAAAAGTATGACTGAGTATTGCGTCTATGTTTCACTTTTGCATCAGCTCAGACTGTTGGTTCCTTCAGAGGACCACACCCATCTGCCCAGTCCTGATGTTCACTGATGTCTTTCTGAAAAAAAGACACTAAGTTTTGGATGAGTTTGTTCGAGGACATTAATGAGACGTTAATCTACTCACATGGAAGCGTGAAAGGTGTGATAACATCTCACTGGTGTGATCTGATGGTGGCATCAGAAGTGAGCATGAAGTCGAGTTTGTGAGTCCAGTTAATAATTCACACACTTTTATTTAGTTTGTGTCCTTATAAGAGAAGGTCAGTTTACATCCATGAGATAAACATGAATACAGTCACGTCAGTCAGTATATCAGTGTGCCTCAAGGGGCTTTACAGCCTTACATTGAGCACGGACCCCACACTGTCTGTAGAGCCTCAGATCGAATCAGGAAAACCAAAACAACACCCCCCCCAAAATGGAAGAACGCTCAGGATGGACAAGAAACCGATGTCGTGTGTTCAGAATAAACCAAGAGATTATTTGAAGTATACACAGAAAAAGCTCAGCTAAAAATATGATTTAAACTTAAAACTGGACTCTGTTGATGTTGTCAGTACAAATTGAGCATCGGGGGAATCCCATGTTTGCAGCTGTGTTCATGTTTAACCTGTGTGTTTGCAGGGTGTCGCTGTTTGACTACCAGGCAATGTGTAGGAACAGCCACCATCATGCCAGCAGTGCTCGGCCTCTGCTCAGCGTGAGTCTCAGCCACACACCACTGTTAGGCTCGGTAACTGCTGGTTACTTCATCGGCTGTGTTAGAGATACCAGGCTGGAACATGCCGTTGACATCTTTCATTTCATTCATTTACATAAGCAAAAAGTGATTTCCTGCTTCAGGTCCCAACAAACACACACACAGGACTTTGTTTTATTGTCTCAAGCACTTTTCAACATACTGGTGGACTTTATACTTTTTATTAACTTCTCATTTTCCTCCTGCAGCCATTCTACAGCATCGCGGCCCTAATGAGATGGTTCTTTTCCAATGCACTGATGTAAGTGTTGACTGTGCTGCTTTGTGTGAGGGCTGTTTTTTAGGAGGTGGTGAGGCCAAAAGGGTGATGTTACCTCAACACTAGGAGGCAGTTATGACCCAAGTAGTTCTTTAAGACTCAGCATCCACACTTTGTTGTCCTGTTCTTTATTTATTATTCTTCCGTACGTTTTTTGCCACTCAAGTCCTCCCGCATACTTTCAGCTACAAAAACCAGTCAAATATCATAATGTTCAGCTTTTTAAGGACATGATGGCATCTATTCAACTTTTTTTTACTTTTTAAAATATTAAGCTTTTTTTCAACTTTTTTTTAATAATGGAGGTCAATTGGAGAATCTTTGAATCTTCCTCCTCTTTCAACTTAAATAGCTTCAGAATACTTTCAGCTAGAAAAACCATTCAACCTTTAAACAAGTCAGGATAAATTCAGCTATTCATCCTGTGTTCGGCATTTTGATATATTTTACGGTTGCGAATTGTCCCAGTTTACGTTTTATGTTGATTTTGGGCATTTCTCCACCTCTCCATTCATTTGAATGGGGATACCTGAGAAACACTCCTGGAAAAGGTATGGCCTTTTTACAATTTTCCAGCTTGTTTTCTGCTCTTATTCTGCCAACCTTAGGCTTATACACACAAATTATACATGAAAATTATTAGAGACAATTGAGGAATCAGAAAATATCCTCATTGTGATAGGATGAATTGTTTTTGAATGAAGTGGCAAAATACAGAGGGTGCCGCCTCATTCTCCCATTGTAAACCACATTTTTTGGGTGAGGGTCGGACCCCATTTTCACCTCATACTATAGTAAGGCACATTTTTCGGGTGAGGTGCGTTTTTAAGCAGCTGGTCCGACCCCATTTTCATTATAGTAAGGCACATTTTTCGGGTGAGGTGCGTTTTTAAGCAGCTGGTCCGACCCCATTTTCATTATAGTAAGGCACATTTTTCGGGTGAGGTGCGTTTTTAAGCAGGTGGTCGGCCCCCATTTTCACCACACACTATGGCAGGGATAGTTGGAAAACAAGCAGGACAGCGGCCCTTGAGGACTGCAATTGCCCACCCCTGCATTATAGTAAGGCACATTTTTCGGGTGAGGTGCGTTTTTTGGCAGGTGGTCGAACCCCATTTTCACTATAGTAAGGCACATTTTTGGTGGGAGGGTTGGACCCGTTTTCACCACATACTATATAGTCAGGCACATGTTTTGGGTGAGGTGCGTTTTTAAGCAGCTGGTCCGACCCCATTTTCATTATAGTAAGGCACATTTTTCGGATGAGGGTCAGACCCCATTTTCACCTCATACTATAGTAAGGCACATTTTTCGAGTGAGATGCGTTTTTAGGCAGGTGGTCGGACCCCATTTTCACCACATACTATAGTAAGGCACATTTTTCGGGTGAGGTGCGTTTTTTGGCAGGTGGTCGAACCCCATTTTCACTATAGTAAGGCACATTTTTGGTGGGAGGGTTGGACCCGTTTTCACCACATACTATATAGTCAGGCACATGTTTTGGGTGAGGTGCGTTTTTAAGCAGCTGGTCCGACCCCATTTTCATTATAGTAAGGCACATTTTTCGGATGAGGGTCAGACCCCATTTTCACCTCATACTATAGTAAGGCACATTTTTCGAGTGAGATGCGTTTTTAGGCAGGTGGTCGGACCCCATTTTCACCACATACTATAGTAAGGCACATTTTTCGGGTGAGGTGCGTTTTTTGGCAGGTGGTCGAACCCCATTTTCACTATAGTAAGGCACATTTTTGGTGGGAGGGTTGGACCCGTTTTCACCACATACTATATAGTCAGGCACATGTTTTGGGTGAGGTGCGTTTTTAAGCAGCTGGTCCGACCCCATTTTCATTATAGTAAGGCACATTTTTCGGATGAGGGTCAGACCCCATTTTCACCTCATACTATAGTAAGGCACATTTTTCGAGTGAGATGCGTTTTTAGGCAGGTGGTCGGACCCCATTTTCACCACATACTATAGTAAGGCACATTTTTCGGGTGAGGTGCGTTTTTTGGCAGGTGGTCGAACCCCATTTTCACTATAGTAAGGCACATTTTTGGTGGGAGGGTTGGACCCGTTTTCACCACATACTATATAGTCAGGCACATGTTTTGGGTGAGGTGCGTTTTTAAGCAGCTGGTCCGACCCCATTTTCATTATAGTAAGGCACATTTTTCGGATGAGGGTCAGACCCCATTTTCACCTCATACTATAGTAAGGCACATTTTTCGAGTGAGATGCGTTTTTAGGCAGGTGGTCGGACCCCATTTTCACCACATACTATAGTAAGGCACATTTTTCGGGTGAGGTGCGTTTTTTGGCAGGTGGTCGAACCCCATTTTCACTATAGTAAGGCACATTTTTGGTGGGAGGGTTGGACCCGTTTTCACCACATACTATATAGTCAGGCACATGTTTTGGGTGAGGTGCGTTTTTAAGCAGCTGGTCCGACCCCATTTTCATTATAGTAAGGCACATTTTTCGGATGAGGGTCAGACCCCATTTTCACCTCATACTATAGTAAGGCACATTTTTCGAGTGAAGACGCCGTTTTCACCACATACTATAGTAAGGCACATTTTTCGAGTGAGGTGCGTTTTTAGGCAGGTGGTCGGACCCCATTTTCACCACATGCTATAGTAAGAGTAAGGCACATTTTTTGGGGGAGGGTTGGACCCCGTTTTCACCACACACTATAGTAAGGCACATTTTTCTGGTGAGGGTCAGACGCCGTTTTCACCACATACTATAGTAAGGCACATTTTTTGGGTGAGGTTCATTTTTAAGCAGGTGGTCGGACCCCATTTTCACTATATTAAGGAGCATGTTTCGGGTGACTGTCAGACCCCATTTTCACCACCTACTATATAAGGCACATTTTTCGGGTGAGGTGCGTTTTTAGGCAGGTGGTCGGACCCCATTTTCACTATATTAAGGCACATTTTTGGGGGGAGGGTCGGACTTTGTTTTGACCTGCAGTCATTTTGTCCGTGTGGAATATTACGGTGATTCTTCAGTGGAATAGACCAGCAAAGACTGTGTGTATGAGCACAGTAAAAGATTCAGTAAACACAGACAAGTTTATATTACAGGAAGTACACAATTCCCAAATTGACTAGCACAAGTCAAGAGCTGCAGGTTCAGTGAGGTTCTGTGTGTTTCAGGCCATAAACAAGATGAATTCTGTCCTGGCTAAATATTTAATATGAATGAGCCAACGTGCTGGGGTTAATATTGTTTAATATTTAACTTGTGCACGTAGTCTGAAAAAGGAGCGGAATGAAAAAGGAGCTGTGTGTAATAATGAACCACACTACATTGTGTGAAGATCACAGCATTCTTGCATCACAGAGTAAAACCTTTTGCTCCCTGAGTCCTGAGTTCAGAGCTGTGTGATGCCACTGTCAGCGTCTCATCAAGGGATCAAGAGTTATGAGAAACACAGTTGTGACAGCTGTGATGGCACAAACACACCTCAGCTGGCCATGTTTGGTTGGCACTGTTGGTCTCCTTCCGTCGATCGCCACAGCTTTCATTTCCCCAAAGTCACATTTCTACTCAATACTGTTCAAGTAGATCTGTTTATTGTGAGAAATGGATCTACAGAGGTAACACAGCAGTGGACTCCTAAACAGGTCAGAGAATACGGTGCCGTACTTCTTAGGATTTGTACAGGTTTGTACAGAGAAAAGAAGCAGGGTTTGTGTGTTCTGCCATTAACCAGAGGTTTGTGTCTCCTGTCAGGATCCTGCTGGACCTGAACCTCTGCAGCCTCTGGCATCCAGACTATTTTGTGGACGGTAAGATGTTGCAATGATCATCAGATCAGAGTGAGGTCTGCCCCCAGTACAACAATGTGGAGGTCAAACAGCATCCAGTACTGGGCGGTTTTTGTCTCGTTCGTCTTTTGTTTTCAGTTTCTGTTGTACGCCATACTGTTTGTTGAACATCTGCTCAGTCCTCTGCAGTTTTTGTTGTTTTGTGTTCTGCATTTATTTTGTGTTTAATCATCAAAGCTGTCAGAGTTCAGCCATGCACACGTCTGGTTGCTTCCTCAAAGGAAAACTTCTGACATGAAACAATCAAAGAAGAGTAGAACACAGAACAACAACCTGAGATGTGAAATATAAGATTAAACGGAGGAGCTGTGAACAGACTGACAGGGGTGTGTTTGTTTTCATCACCATCACTGCTTTATGTCTCATTTACAAACATTCTGCTTCAAACCGGCGGCCTCGTCATCTCCATCTTCATCCTCACCACTGTGTTGTCACTGTGTTGGTCGGTTCAAGCCAAGGCTGGGTATCACACAAGTGAGTGTTTACATGTGAGAGTCTGTAGAGACAGAAGGATGATGAAAACTGTGGGAATGTGTCGATAGGTAGGTAGGACTTTATTGATAGTTGATGGTCCTTTTTAATTCACTGAGATTAGAAGTAGGGGGAAGGAGTTTTAGGTCCAGGTTTCACAGGTATAATCGTGTGTGTGTGTGTGTGTGTGTGTGTCAGCTCATAAGCAGAAGAAGGTGGAGCCGCTGCTGCCCTGTGACACGGTGTATCCCGGCTTCATGTATGACCCCTCTGTCAGAGAAGCCAACAGCCTCATCAAGTGTGGACGCTGCCAGAAGTATGACGCACACACATTTAGATTTACTCAAATTTACTGAATTACGATTCTGAGGTATTTGTACTTCAGTATTTTCATTTTCTGCTGCTTCATACTTGGACTTCATAAAACTCCAAACTGTGGCACTTGCACACTAAACCTGTGCTATACAGTAGGAACACAGTAAACTAGCTTGTCAGCTTCTGAGGTCAGCTGGTTGACAGCGATACTAAAGAGGAAAACATTCTCTGGCTGTCACATACTCAGTTGGTTGTTGATTGGACCGGCTGTTTTTGTGGTTTCAGGATGTTTGTGGTGCAGCAGATTCCTGACAGCAACCTGGTTGTGGTTGTGACTCAGGCCGACTGTGACTGTTCCCGTCAGTACGGACCGATGCTCCTGGAGCCCGAAGAGCTCAAATATATCCTTCACTTACTGAGACACAGTGAGGCCGCCCCCTGCTGGTCACAAGCAGCTGGTCAGTGCAGTGAGGACAGCAGATTGACGCTGAGGTCAGAGTGCATTCACATTCCAGAGTTTTTCCAGTAATCAGAGGTGGAAAGTAACTAAGTACATTTACTCATGTATTGTACATAAGTGCAATTTTAAAGTATCTGTACTAGAGTATTTTCATTTTCTGCTACTTCATACTTCAGCTTCACAATTCAAAGAGAAATATTATACTTTATATTTGACATTTATTTGATAATTACTTACTAGATACTTTTCAGAAACAGGTTAATAAGACAAAATGCAGTAGTAGTCGATTCTTTGATGTCACAAGCTACTCAGCAGTACTTAGTATATTTTCTTGTAATACTTGAGTAACATTTTGAATGCAGTACTTTTAGTTGTAACAGAGAATTTTTCAGTTGTTGTGCTACTTTTACTTAAGTAAACAATCAGAATACTTCTTCCACCACTGAGGAATCATTTTTGAGAACTCTGTCTTCTTTTGTTAAATGCAACTCGTCATAAAACCAACCTGGATTAGATTCCTTGAAGTCTGATTCTGGATGTTACAGATATCAGCTCTAAAACGATGTCAAGCTGTTCTCAGGCTCGAGCGGCCCGTTTTCCTTAACAGCAGTGAACATAACGCCTCGGTGAAGTGCAACAGGATGAGGTCCCAGAAGGTGCGGCGGCGCCCACAATCCTGCCACGCCTACCACCCAAAGGTCAGTGCAGACATTCACACAACACGGTGACAGGATGAACGCTCATCGTTGTGCAGCATTAAATTATCACACATCGGCCCTGAACTGTCAGTCCTTGAAATGTGATGTCACTTAATATTCCACTGGGGGACTGTTGGACACCTCAATGGATGAGACTGTGTAAAAGTATTTATACATATAATATGTAACACACAGTATAGTTGTAGTAGCAAAAAGCAAATGTTCTGTATAAACACTAAGTGGTGGTAAGCAGATGTTTGTCTCCTGTGGACACAGCTGTAGAAAGTGTTTATGGATAATAACACTAATATGTCTTCATGGGAGAAGTTATTGTACATTAATAACATGTTCAATGCACTTAGAATATAAGGTACAATAAACCATGTGTTGTATGTATGACATTTAAATATTAAATAGAGCACAGTGGTACATTTATGCTAATCACTCCAGAGTAATTGACCAAATGAAGTTGATTAGCTTTTACAATCAGTATGTCCCAGTCATTTGAAAGTCCAGGAATACACCACAGGTTTCTCCATGTGTACAGACATGAGTGAAAGTAAAGTCCCACCTACATCCCCAGAGAACTGCCTGCCAGGTTGCATCCATGATCTGGGCTTTGTGTTATTCCAGATGCTGAGTGGGACTACAGATGTTTCCTGGTCACTTTAGTGTTTATGAGCAACATCATCTGTCAGGTTTTAATGGTGTAAGAGCCTGCAGTGCCACAGCTCTGAATCCTGTTGCATGTGAGAACTTTTAGTTTGTGAAACTTAACTAATTTGGCCAAAGACGAGCAAACGTGGCAGCTTGATCCACTTCAACTGACATCTACAGCAGAACGTGGCCAGAAGGTGAATCAGTAGTTTTACTCAGTTACTCAAAAGTGAGAAAAGAGTTGATGTTGTTTCTGAGGAGCTGCAGCAACATGTTAAAAGTTATCAAGTAAAGAGATTTTGTTTCTGAGCGAATAAAATGATGACCTGTGAAACTGTAAACATCTTCATGTGTTCCGGTGGATTCTTGTTCACTTTGCTGTGTCACACTTGTTCAACAGGAGAATGCTAAGGACTGTGGTGGGGCGTTGGCCCTCTCCGTGTCGTCCTCGCTCTTCTCTGCCTCTCTGCTCATTTCGATGGTCCTCCACCGCTGGGTGTAAACCAGGACTGGCCGACTAATCAGGAGGCAACAGCAAGGACTTCAAGGACTAATCAGGGAACGGACACCTAAAGGAGGTTTTGTACTGTCTGAGAGACACAGGGACACCTCAGATGATTTTTGTCCTGTTGTTGAGACAAGTATTGGCTCAGTCTGAGCAGAGTTGAAGGGCTGTTTACTGAAAATCACTTACTGTTTTGTTGTTTTACTAATTAAGCTTTATGTGGCCCTGTGCCTGAAACATGTCTAAATACTAATCCTGTTAATAAATGACTTGTCTCCTAATGTAAAAACTGAATGAGGAACCAGTTTTACCAACCTATCTCCTCATTCTTCAATGTACACCATGTTTCACACCTCAGAGAGGGGGTTAAGCTTTATGTGGCCCTGTGCCTGAAACATGTCTAAATACTAATCCTGTTAATAATAAACTGATTAACCAAGGACAGTGATTCAAAGAGGTGTGCTTGGAAACACAGGTTTGTCCCTGCACATGGTTTTACAGGTTTGTGTAAAACCTGTAAAACTGTCTGAGACAAAAATCATTGTAACCTCAGGCTTACAAACATGTTCACACACTGTGCTTGCTTAGTTTTTTGACATTTACTACTGTGAGCTTATGGACTTTTGTCACATTTATGTAAGCAGAGCTTTGTAAGAGAGGGTAGGGATGTTCAACTTCCGACCAGTCGGCATCTTCAGAGCCACCTGCACTGGCTCTAAAGATGCTGATTGGTCAAAAGTTGAACATCCCTACCCTCTCTTACAAAGCTCTGCTTACATAAATGTGACAAAAGTCCATAAGCTCACACACAAACCTGTACAACAGATCACTGGCACAAACCTGTTTCCGCACTCACTTTTTGAATAAGTTAATATTCCACACTGTCAGCTGGAGGAGGTCCTATAGGATTCTCATATCTTCTGTCATCTTGACTTCAGTACATGTAACAACTCTCCTGAATCTGAACCAAACAAAGACATGTTCACTTCAGCCCGTTGGTACGTGTGGATTTCTTGTTAAGCACCAGGTCCCTGAACAGCAGATCTGATTCACAGACAGAAAACAACCAGACAGGTTCCAGGATATACTGAGCAGTTTAAAAAATATGTTACATCACAGAAAAGTCTCACAATTTCAAAAGTCAGCGTACAAATGGTTTCTTCCTGATGACACTGACGGACAGAGCTGTGATGTCACAGTAGTGCTTTGCCTGACATTTCCCAAATCTCTACAGAAGATTCTAAAATCAGCAGAAAAATAGCAGATATTGGCAGATTTAATTTGTGAAGTCAAAATTTCAAATATTGATTTTTCAATATAACAATTAGTAGTTGAGGCCAGTCACAGTCCCTGCTGTAACAAGTTGTGATCACTTCACCTTTCCACAGTAACATGTGAGGTCACCAGTTTCCGTAGAAGAGGCGTCGACTGACAGTGTGTGTGTGGTGTTCACTGGGCTTCAGCTCAGTGTTTTTACCCATCAGCTGCATATGACTCCAGGTTCAGGTTGAGCTGCTGCATCAGTCAAAGCCTCCTGCTGGGATCACAAACCGTGAGGTTGCCACCTGCTGCACAACTGGACTAATGACAGTGATGTGTGGTAACAGAGAACATCACCCTACAGCTACTGGTCTTTCTAGTTCTAGGTCACATCTCCATCTGCTCCTCAGTCCACACTGTGCTTTCCTAGACGGTCACATGAGGAACATAAATATTTAAAGTTCCGTCCTGTGACCAAACACATTTGGTTTAAATTCAAAATGCCTTCACACTGGAGCTTTGCATAAAGTAAGAAAACAGCCGATTCATCTTTCACTGTCCAGCTACTTAAATAAAATGTATAAATAAATTAGGTTTCATGGAGCAAGTTCCAGATGCCTTGTTTATAGTCAGTGGAAACCTGACAAGGCAGAGCTGCAGGAATCAAAGTCAACACTAATGGTGTTTTAGGGGACTTTTCCTTTAAATCAACATGATTGCATATTAATACATTTCCATGAATTAGTCAGTGAGCAGAACCCCCTTTGTCTAAAATAAAACCATAAATCAGTCTGTTCACAGTGTGTGAATGCTCATCATTCACACACTGTTCAGGAATATTAAAAGCTGCTCTCTGGTCTCCTGCCTGACCAGTTTTAAGGCAATGTGGAGCAAACTTGTGACAAACAGTTATACAGAGCCTGGAGGTTCTTTGGAGGAATATGACTGACTGAACCCTCTGATGAATCAGTCACTAACAGAACTCATCTCTGTCCAACTCCTCCTGTTATATTAACATGTTTTACCCCCTTACTTCACCCTGGTACATACAACTAGAGAAAACCAAAGTCAATGAGGACATGAATTGACCTGCTAACAGACCTTCCAGGCTCTGTAAAACTCAGTCAGCACCAATTAGTTTTTTGCAGTTGGGATGTGAAGTGTTGCTCATTGTTATCTGACACGTCAGCTCTACACAGCCTGCTGTCTGTCCAGAGTGGGGCTCGTCTCCTCGGCCTCCCCTTCTCTCTCCTGGTTCCAGTCTCGGAGGCCCTCTGGTAGACTCGTGTCCTCCTCGAAACTCCCCGTGCCCTCCACAAACTCCTCATATGTGGACTTCTCCTTGAACGGCCGTGGGCCCAGCAGCTCCAGCATGTCCGCCTTATCCAGGACTTCCTTCTCCAGGAGACGCTTCCCCACCTGAGGACAACATCACAAGTGAATTCTGGTAGTCATTCCTCCCCACTGTTGCCAAGTGCTGCTCAAGGGGGATTTGTTGGGTTTTCCCTCTGTAATAATAATAATAATAATAATAATGTCTAGACCTTTACTTTGTGATTTGGCGCTATACAAATAAAATTTGATTTGATTTAGTTTGTCGAAACATAAAATACCTGTCCTGAAAAAGAAAAAAGACTCCTTGCTCCAGGAGCCATTTAGTGAAACAGTGAAACCTGCAGCTCCGAGGTCAGGTCAGGTCAAACAGCTGCATCTTTTTCAACAAACATCTGCATAAAAATATTATCTTTCCATCTTGTGAATCATATGTGCTGAAACAAACACCATATCCACACCGACCAAACAGCTGTTGTGGTTCAACACTGAATTCTTTGTGCTCACAAGTCTACACGCTGTACAAACCAGCTCGCAGTCACAATGGTCACACAACAGAAAATCAGCAGTGACAGCAAGACAATGTTTTCATTTGTTTAGGACTGGATCCAAATACTCAACTACTCATTCACTGGATAGATAATCAGTTTTTAGTTTTAGTATTCGAATATTCAAGACGGCAAGAAACTTCAGTGCAGTCTGAAAACGAAGAAGAAAGAGAACAGGACAGAGACAGCCTGGACCGGTACATGTCTGAAAACACTGGAGCAAATTCCTGGATCAGTAGTTCACAAGCAAAATGTTAAGACATAGAAGACGCCTCTTTACTGTTGTAAGGTAGAAAGAGAACAAGCTAACGTTCATCAAAACAAACCTTTCTGATCAAATAGCGTACGTGCAGCTGTGAAATAAAAGTAGTGAAACAGCCACGAGACTCACCATCTCCACCAGGTCCTTCTTGTCCTCAATGAGCTGCAGCGTGTGGGCGTACGCCCTCTCCACCAGCTCTCGGACCTCCTTGTCAATCAGCTCAGCCGTCTCCTCACTATATGGTTTCTCTATGACCATCTCGCCCTGCCGGGGCAGGTCGAACGACACCTGGCCCACCTTCTCACTCATCCCAAACTGCACCACCTGATAATCAAAGAGAACATCACAACAAAACATCAGATGCTCTTTAAACTGTCCGACCATCCTGTCACCAAAAGGGTCACACCGGTGCTGAGTTATATTTAGAACAACAAGAACATTGATAGATCGATGCTCATTATACTTGTCATACATTTATTTCTCTTAAAGTGCAAGTCAGTTTGGATGTGTGGCCCACAACAGCAACAAAACAAGTGTCAGACATGTGGACCCTGTCCAGGTGAACCTGTCTCACAGAGCCCACCTTACAACCATCAGTTGTCCGTTCTGATTGTAGGAAAATAATTTAATGGCTGAATTGTTTTAGCCTTACAAGGGGGAGCATAGCCAACAATGCTAGATGAGCACAGGGAGAGATTTCTCTGGAGTTTGAGATGAGCTCTGAGAGACGTCCTTCATCCAGCAGAATATCACAGATATACTGCTGGTGTGTAGGTGATCTGTTCTCCAGTCTTCATGTGTGTCGAACCAAGAATCATGAGTCCAGATTTTTTTCTATCTGCACTAAACCCCGACCCTCAGGTGTGCGTGCTGTACCTGAGCATAGGCCGACTGCGTGACCTTCTTCAGGTCGTCCTGGGCTCCGGTGGTGATCCGGCCTAAGAAGACGTGCTCGGCCACACGGCCTCCCAGCATCATACACATCCTGTCGAACAGCTGCTCTCGGCTGTACAGGTACTGCTCTCTGGGCAGGTACTGAGCGTAGCCCAGACCCTTCCCCCGCGGGATGATCGACACCTGAACGCACACAACAAGAACACACAACTGTCAGAGACTGTTTGTCTCCCTGTATCAGACTGGTAAGACACACTGGTTGTGTGCTAAACCAGATCTAAAGCAGCTCTGCTCTTTAGCCAGTCTTTGTTTTTGGAACACCAACTACACCAAATGAGCTCTAACCAGGCTGGTGTTGCTGTGCACTGCTGGATGTACTGACGGCCGTCACCGCATCACTGGGACGCTAAAGAATTCTTTAAAACCTGTCCATTTTCAGGCAACTTCTGAAGCATTCGAACCCCAGGATTATAAAAACAAACTCAAAACCATAATGGGATATTCAGTCATAATTATGAGATCCTCCATTTTTCATAGTTTTTAACCAGCCCACAGTGGCTGCTGCTCTCCCTGGGCTCCAACTTGTTCAAAAGACACGTTTAAAATTTCAAACATATTCAGTCACGTAGTAAAAACTAAATGAAATTTTTGAATGAAATTTCTTAAAATTAGAAATCCAGGTTACTTCTTTGATTCCCTGATGAAGAGCAGTCCCTTCAGATGATGCTCTAAAAGTAACTAGGTTTGGAAAAAATTTCTTAAACATTGTGTCAAATAATGATGAAGCTGATCTGGATAATCCAGTTGTTCAAATGAGAAACAGGGTTGATGAATAACAGCAGAGTATAAGTAGGAGGAACTGCGCTCTTTAAGTGTGTACTCGGAGTTATTCACTGTTGAGATTAAATTCCACACAAAGACTGGTTTGGTCCAGATGACAACACAAACACACCACAGCAACAAGCTCAGACGTGCTGTAACACATATGGATCAGAGTGTGTGTCAGTGTGTGCGTCGGTGCACCTTCAGCAGTGGGTCGGCGTGTTGCAGGAACCAGCCCACAACGGCGTGTCCGGCCTCGTGGTACGCTACAGTCTTCTTCTCTGTGGGCTGCAGAACCTGAGTCTTCTTCTCCAGACCTGAACACGAACACACACACACACACACACACACACACACAGGTCTGAGACCAACAAATAAACAGATATCCAACAAAACCAAACAGATGATAAATGCACTGGTGTGATATTATTTTACAACATATTATGGTCTACAACCAAAAACAATCTGATACTGGGCCAGTGTCTACGACTGTCAACGGCTCTGGGTTGTAACATACGACACTGGCAGGGTCTGAATTTTTCTGAAAAATGACTTTTTGTCAAAACTATAGCCAATCATTTCTTGATGTGTCAATCATTTCCCTAATTTCTATTTGAAAATCAACACAAGAAGAAGAAGAAAAACTGTCGACCAGTGTAATTTTTCTCTGAACTGATGAAAGTAACACATTTGACACGAGAGTGGTCACAAAGAGAGAGGCTGCAGTCCAGGACGTGGCTGACCTCCAATGACCCGGTCGATGGCCTGCTCAAAATGTCTGCCGTTCACGGCTGGGTCCAGGTGTCTGGCGGCGATCAGAGCTGCCTCGTTGCAGACGTTAGCGATGTCAGCTCCTGACAGGTTCACAGTGGAAAAAACACAGTTCAGAATACTGACAACACATTGGTTTCGGCTGACAAACTGCTGCAGGTACCAGCGCCTCAAACTGATGCTGATGCTTTCTGTTCATTCCAGTTCCCCCTTTCTCACCCAGGGGCCCAGCTACTGGCAGGAGGTGAACTGCTGAACATCTAATGTTTCATGTTCACTTGGTTTTAAATCCAAACTATTTCCAACTAACAGAGTTTTGTATCTTTAGGTTTAACATAACAGTGAAGAGTAAACAGATAGAAAGTAATGTCTGTTTCTCTGCTGATGTCACATGACAAACACCGAGCATCCACAGCTACTGATCAACTAAACTGCTGTTTTCACTTCTCCTATGTGTTTCGTGAACACAAAAAAAACTGTGACAGCTTATGTAGCCGTGACCTACCAGTGAATCCTGGTGTTGCGGCGGCCATCTTCCTGGCAAGAGCGTCTTTGTCCAGGCTGGGGTCCACTTTGATCGGTCGTAGGTGGACTTTAAAGATGGACGCCCTGCCTTTAATGTCTGGAGGACCTGAGAGGAGAGAAGGAAAGACAAACTTAAACTCTTAATTTGTTTTTGATTTTTTTTCACTTAAAAAAAAGATGCAAACTCATTACACCTACTTTGAGATAAGTGATCAGGGCCTGATGGTGTTGGGGGATTAGTTAGCCTCTCAACAGTGGCAAACAAAACACCAGAACTATTGATAATGCTGTCGATGATGTCAAAGAGCTCTGGCCATTGGGCCAGTTATAACGTCTCCTTCCATTTCGCAGGGACGTGATTTATTCATTGGCTTCACACCAAGATAGTTCCATGGAGGACTACTACTTACACATTTATTGTGAGGCAGAGAACCCTCCTGTTTCTTCTTAGTAGCCTTGTTAGTGCTAATTAGCTGGGAGTAGTAGTAGTAATAAAGGGTATTTATGAATCAGTTACTTAATGTGGAAAGAAACAAAAACATCTGAAGTTTCCTGAGAACCTCTGTTTCTTCAGAGTCAACAGCAGTGGGCTGGTCAACAGGTACACCTGTATGCACCTCAGTGCCAGACTTCCACGTTAAGCTCAAAATGTTTCAGTTTTTGGTGAAATTGTCAAATGTATAGATTCAGATATTTGTTTATTATGTTAAAGGTGATCTTGTCCTGGACTACATCATATTCAGAGGTGTTCCTAATATTCTGACGCTGTATGTAGCGATGTATGTAGCTGGGGAGGACAAAAACACAGACACACCTCTGAATATAATGTGGTCCAGTACAAGCAGCCCTCGTGTCAGTATGTGAGTCAGAGAACAAAGACAGCAGTGATCAGCTGAGTGCGTTGGACTCTACCGATGTAGATCTGTCTGTCAAAGCGGCCCGGTCTCATCAGAGCAGGGTCCAGGATGTCAGGTCTGTTGGTTCCAGCCAGGACCACCACGTTGGTGGCCGTGTTAAAACCTGCAAACACAGATAATTAATGCCTCAAACATCAGAGCAAACCTGAGGACTCAGATGTGTCCCGCAGCCTACCGTCCATCTCCACCAGCAGCTGGTTCAGGGTGTTCTCCTGCTCACTCTGACCACCAAAGTTCCCTCCCCCTCTCTTCCTCCCCACAGCATCAATCTCATCGATGAAGAGGATGCAAGGGGCATTCTTCCTCGCCATGGCAAACATGTCCCTCACCTTAGGAGGACAGAGACCCTTCAGCTTCACTACAACATGACAGTTCTCCTACATGATCCACACAAACCAGTTTTTGGAGAAACTGAAGAAGAATCTTATTCATTGTTTATGTTGAGCTGTTTGCTAGACAGTTGGTGTTACTGACAGTTTTGATCTGGACAAATGGCTACTACAGTTTATCTCCAACGCAGTACTGAGGGTTACTGGTCATGACCAAACGTCCCCCACAGGCCTCTGGACCAACACACGCCTGATCTGGTTTCCTTCACTCACCCGAGCCGGACCAACGCCAACAAACATCTCCAGGAACTCGGAGCCATTGACGGTAATGAAGGGGACGTTGGCCTCTCCGGCTGTGGCTTTGGCCAACAGAGTCTTCCCCGTCCCAGGTGGACCAGACAGCACAGCCCCCTGGGATACCACACAACATGGTGTAGCACAAGTCACCCACCAAATTTAACACTACTACATTGTTTGGTTAATGATAAATAAGAGTAAGGTCTTTTCACATACAGAGCAACACAAATAAACAAAACGAAATAATGATTTTTTTTCAGAGGCAATGTAAATGAACCACCTACATTCAAACCAAACATAACACGAATATGGAAAGTGAAGTTCTAAAAGGTCACACTACCAAAATCCACATCAAGCGACGATGACCTGCAGGTGCTGGTTCTGCTAAACACAAGAAGTGCATCCTATACTGATAAAAAGGCAACTTGGAAAGTTTCACTGTTTGGTGCAAAGGCTGAAACTGTCAGTGGGACAATCTGAGGAGCCGCTGCTGATGCCACAGCACTCAAAGAGGCAGAGGGGCAATTACAATGACCCAGTCAACCCAGAATGGCACTTGGCCGTATGTCAGAGGTGAAACATATATACGCCACTTTAATAAATGAATCTGACAGGTGCACTAAGCACTTACAGCAAGCTGCGCTGTGATTGGTCACAGGTGGTTCTGTTGCCAACGAAATAAATAAAAAAAAAATTTACACTTTATTAAAGTCTCTGCTTCTGTCAGGACACTGCAGCAGTGCCCTGATGCCCTGTGTGTTTTCTATTTACCTTGGGGATCTTGGCTCCAAGGTCGTGGTACTGCTGCGGGTTATTCAGGAAGTTGACAAACTCCAGGATCTCCAGCTTGGCTTCCTCGCAGCCAGCCACATCCTTGAATTTCACATCGATGTTGTTCTTCATCATTTTGGCCGTGGTCTCACTCATGCTGAAGGGCCCGCCCCTCCTGCCACCAAGACCTATTCCCATTGGTCCTCTTCGCACGGCGAAGAGCAGGAAACCAGTCAGCAGCAGGGTGGAAATTATGCTCATCAGGAGAGAGCTGGGAGAACAGAGAAGGACCTCGCTTCATATCCTGCTGGTGTTTAAGGCATCTCCCCAAATATAGAAATATTTCTTTGAAACCTTTACAGGACTAGAAACGTGTTTGTCTGTTAAACCCACCCGTCACTCTCGTTACTGTAGATGACAGTGGCTCGGTGCAACGGCTCAAGGTTGAGCTCCACATTCGCTATCTCCAGGTTCCTCTCAAATGTGTCGACGCTGCCGATGTTGAACCAGACGTAGCGCTGGAGGCCACAGAAAGAGCCAGAACATCACACTACTGATTACATTTATGGCTTCATTTTAAGAGTTTAATTATTTTCTCCCTCAGCTTCTGGGTGATAGGATGCAACATAATCACAGGTTTTCTGCCAAAGTGTAGAATTACTGTGGTTATTTCACATTGGAAATGTCTATTTTTTTTTTATTTTTTTTTTTTTACTTTTCTCCAATTTGTGAAGTGGGCAGGGCTCAGATATGTACTTCAGTCAGGAATCAGTAACATTTGAATCAATCTGATTGAGCCACACCTACCTTGTCCTGGTGCAGCAGATTAGCTTTTGACAGTTAAATATTTAATAATGCCTTAAATTTGGTTTTAGAGTAATGTTATAAAGAAATACTTCACATTTTCAGAGCCTCTGATGTTACATTCAGACAGGTAACAAATGAAAGGACAACACAGGTTTGTCCTTCCATTTGTTACTGTTGGTCTGTCTTTTGCAAAATGATACAAATAATAACACAAATGTACAAATCAACTAAAAATTTGATAAAAACCGTCCCTCACCGTGTCAGTGTCGGCTCCTGGCACCAAAATGACCCTGACATACTGTTTGTTGACAACCCTCCAGCCGCTCCACCTGGACAGGAAGAAAACAAGAAAAGACAGGTCTAAAATATTTTTGCATAATTTATAGTCTTTGCAAATGATGAACTTGATTAAATATGTACTTGTTTAATTTTATTTCAGTGACTAATGTAAACACTCGCTACAGAACCACATTTTCAACAACGCTGTGTTGGCAAGGAACAAAAATCTGGTTCATCTTTTTCTGCAACGTGACAACATCCAGCAAAGCAATGCACATCCCTGGTGGATGACTTTGTAATGTGAACACCATAGTTCTGTTGTTTACCTCGAGATCTACAGGACCAAAGATAAACATGTTTCTGTCATGATAACTTTCCAGAGTTGTACGATCCTGTCTGGGAGGATTATAGAGCAGCGGGCTGTGTCTTTAAACAGAACTCTGTTCCTCCAACTAGACATCATGACATCAGGAAATGGAACAACACTCCCCCACCAACACAGCCACCTGGGTTGTTTTAAGGTGAAATTAGCCTCACCATGCCTCTGGCCAGATAGCGGTGGACAAACTCCTTCCAGCTGATCTCTCTGCCACTGTCTCTGAAGTACAAGTAGAGCAGAACTGAACTGACTCCGGCCACAGTCACCGCCATGTAACGGAAATCCTTCTCATCCCAGGGGAAGTCACCCTGAAGGCAGCAGAGAGGTGAACAGGTAAGCAAACATTTAGCTGACGGGGACCTTTACTGGGCTGCAAACGGTAGGCAAAGACAGGAGACATCTTGGTTCCCACTTAAGATATAGAACCAGTTTTTGTTTCTTTCTTTTATTTTGTACATTCTAGATGAATACTGAAGACATCACAACTATATGAAATTATGTTAGTAAAAAAAAGTGTACAAAAAACATTTGTCTTTTAGTGTCACAAACCTTTTGCATTCGACTCCACCAGTCCTTTTCTCCTCCTCCTCCTCCTCCTCCTCTCTTGTGGACACCCGGCCTTCCTCGATCTCCTCCTCGTCCATCTGAAACTCACATATTATTGGTTGTACTACACTTGTGTCAGACCAAACAGGCCTTACTCTCTGGTTCCTGTTTTGTTACAAATTTTCCTGTTTTGCTTTCAAAAAGAAAAAAATATACATTTATAAATATATTATTTTTTGCCAGTTCTGCTGTTTTACACTATTAATCCAGTTGCACAGACACCAAAACCTGCAAAATAACATAAAAAAAGGAGTGCAACATTCTGCAGCCTCCACACAAATAATGTCTACACTGACCACCTTTGGTCACACCTCTCAGTTGGCTTATTTATTTACCATCTTAAATGTCACAGCAGTTTATTTCAAAGGTTTAACGTGTTTGTCATATGCACAGTAAGAAAACGTGTTTCCCTTTACAATGAAATTTGACCAGTTTAATTTAATTATGCTTCCAGTTGTTGTTTCTGCTGCTGTCTGAAAATAAATACAAGTGCATGTACCTGCTGACCTGACTGAAAACAACATTTAAGCATGAGCATGGTGAATGCAGGTAAAAACCATAACAATTTACATCAAAGGGAAAAGGTGAAATCACACAGGAACTGTGAAAATACTGGAGCCATATCAATCATGATAATAATATGGATATGATTTATCTTAGCATCATCAGTACAGGAAAATCCCAAATGTGTGGAGAAGTGAACCAAACATAACATAGGCCACAATAGCAGGAGAAGAAAACAGGTTCTATATTTAAATCCACAATGAGCTGATGTTTTATCATCTCAAAATTTCTGACCATAAAATGAGAATTATGAAAATATTTTATGGCCTTACATTTTAAAACTCAATTTGAACACCTTGTAAGACTGAATTAGGATGTTCAGACACCCTGCATCCAATGACAGCCTCGCTATCATGCACTGTACTCTGCTGGGGTTGCTGTGCACACCCTCCACCCTGCAGCTCTCACCTTTGGGTGCCGTGGAGCACAGTCGTTGCTGAGCTGACTGGAATCTGTGACAGGACAGGAAGGTTGCTGGAGTCCCATAAGCGTTCTGGAAAAGACAACAGAACCCATATAGACAACCACAACCTGAGAAGGCCTGAGGAAAAACAGCTGATGATTCTAGTTTACATGACTGACAGTCAAATGTATCGTCGGAAACGACTTTGTTACATGAATATCAAATGTATCTAGAACCCCCCCCCAAGTGTCATTCCCAAGGTCTGATAACGCTAACTAGCTAAAGTTACTGCTGTGTGGTCCACATATAATACGTCTAAATTTAGTTGCAGTAGATACTTTTCGGTGGATGGGATTTATGCCGAATTAAAAAACAGATTATAAAAAGGACAAAGATATCTTTACTTGAGTTTTAGAGGGTATGCTATCCTGTGGGTAGCCGAACAACCCAAGAACTGAAGAATTTTGCAGCTGGATGTAGCACGTTGTCAGGCTAGCTAGATAACCGTGACACAAACCAAATGTTTAAGTCTTAACTTAGTCCAACTTCCAAGTCACGTGAAGAGGAAATTTGGATCATTAAATCACTCACGGACATCTAACTTTTAGACATTCTTTACATAACAAATACTCCAAAAAACCTCCACTTCACTTACCAAGGCAGCGGAGCTCCGGTGTACAGTTGTGAAGACCCGTGCTGCTCGGGCTCCTCCAGCACGGCAGACAAACAATGCGGCCGCCGAGAGACGCCTCAGCACCTGAGACATCCTCCGTGTGCTGTCCGGGCTTTTAGTCAAAACACAACACCTTTCTGTTTATTATCTACCCGTGAACTTCATCATATAACCGCTAAGCTAAGTGTTATTGAGCAACATGAACGTGAAATGCTAAAGGGAGGCATATGTAAAAGCACCTGTCTAAAGTTATTGCGAAAAGAAAAACATTTATTAATTCTAAAATTAAGTGAGTCAGAAAAAAAATCCTCTTTACTACAGAGGAAGATATGCTAGTAACTGGACACTTGTGAAAGAATTTAACTTGTTTAAAGACGTTATTACATTCAGGCATCTGAACGGCCAGCAGTGCGTCCTCACAGTTTACCTTCCCTCTGATAGGCTATTCCAGGTTATTCCAGGTACGTATTTCAGAGGTTGGATCACCAACCTTCAAACCTTGACCTGGAAAAGGGCTCAGTGCTAGACCCTCAAGGGCCCCAAAACACCCAGGTTTACTCCATATTATCTGTGTTTACATCATTTGATTCATCTCAAATGGAAGGAATTGGAGGAATGGAGGACTTTAACAGGTCCTCCATTGTCATGTAGAGTAACTGTGTAGTTTTAAGACCATTTTTAAAAATGTGTAATTGTCTGTTTTAAAGTTGTTTTGTTAAATAGCTACCATGTTCTTTCTGTTTGTTAAGTACACTAATTAACACACAGGAAACCCCAAACCCTATTTTCTTGAATCATCACTTGATTGTTCAGTGTACAAGATGTCAAAAACAATGAAAATGCATATTATGTCTGCCTTCACAAACCTAAAAATGTCGAGTTCACTATCACAGAAAGCAAATATTCATATTTTAGAAAGTAACAGCAGTGAATTTTACTTTAAAGGGATTTAAATGAATACTCACATCTAACATCCCTCACAATTTGCCTGAGCACTTTCCCCCTTGACCACCCAAAACCACATTTTTAATTTTCTATCATATAAGACCAAGAAAAGCAGCTTCAAAATGATTAAGAAATTATCAAATATGATTAAGTGAAACAGAAAAATTAAACCAACTTTGAACTGTATTTTCAGGACTTTATACTGATGGCAAATTTTATAAAATGTTTATTATCATAATCACTTACAAATAATACAGTTTTGAATAGGTTTGTCAAGTTTTTAAAGTTAGTTTTACGGAAAATATATTAAACAGATTTTAAGGTTACAAGAACTTCACTTGATCATTAGCAGTGAAGTCTATGTTGTCCATCTATAATAATGATGATGTAAATCAACTGTACATTTATAAATATGAAACACACTATTCTATAATCAAATATTTCAGACTCAACAGTCGTTAATAAATTAGCAATTGAGATCAAATATATAAAAAAAGAAAAAGAAATGAAAAGAAAAAAACAAAAGTTAACCTGGCTGGTCCAAGTCTGAAATAACTCCAACTTGTACAATAAATCTGTGACAGCAGAAGTACTCTCCATCTCTGGCTTCAGGGTATTGGAGCTGCAGCCACTTGTCCTTTCTCAGCTTCCTCTGTAGGTGCTGTAAGAAAAGCGACTCATCAGCAGAGGGAGGTGAAACCTCTGCTCTGGGTCATTGATGTTGAACACAACCTGAAACACACACAAAGCCGCTGATGGTGAGAAAACCTGCTGCTTGTTTGCACCTAACTTAAAGAGCATTAGTGCAGGCTGCACAGGGCGGCTTGTTTCACTCCCTCATGTTGTCTTTCATTTCTGAGATACTATGATGCACATTACTGTTGCAACAAGGCCATTTCACTGATATTCTACCATTAAAATGCTTCCATGCAGATCCTCTCTGATGTGTCGGGTTTGGCGACACCTTGTGGTGAGCAGTGGTCACATCACGTGTTTTCATAAGCAACTAATGAAACTGATTGATATTCATTTGTAAGCTTTTAACAAATATTTTTATTTTCCATTTACATACCAGTTGTTTACCAACTAGATTATTTGATTCACTTGTAAAATCTTGTACTACTTCAGTCTTATTGTCCACTTAGATTGTTGTCCTCCACAGTTGGAGCACAGCTGCTCTACCTAATGTCTGTTCAGGCCAGAGGGTCCAATAAATGACAACCAGAGCTTTTGCTTATCAAACTGCCTGCAAGTAAAAATATTTTAAGATGATACTTTCTATGAGCTCCAAATAAAATCATCTGAATTTTGTCTGGTTGTGTACCCATCATTAAGACTTTGTTAAAGACGTACACTGTATCTGAAACTGACATCCTGAGTTCTGCAGAATCACTACTGGTAATTTGGATACTTAAAGTACATTGAATACTACTTTTGGTGCTACCTTTGCACTTTTACGTAAATAACATTTAGAATGCAGGACCTTTACCAGTGACAGAGTATTTTACCTTGTGGTATTGCTACTGTAAAGTACCTGAGTACTTCTTCCACCACTGACCTCGACATAGGGGTAGAAGCAGTTCTGACCCAGACTCTCCCAGTATGAACCGGTCTCAAAACGCAATTTGTACATGCCAGGGGTGAAAGCTGCCCGACTGATGAGTCCTGAGCAGCGGCCATCTCCATTTGTTGTCCTAAAAAAAGCAGTTTTAAGGGTTGAAGGGAGAGCTCATCTACAAAGTCATAGATTCTGATGCAATCTGTTTTCTTTTCTACAGGTGCAGCAGTGTAGTGATCGACCACAGGTTCGAACCCTACCCGACACTCAACATGTTCCAGATCATCATACTGGAGTCAAGTCGATGGAGGCTGAGGGCCATCCTGGCCGCAGGGACGCCGTCTCCGGTGTTCAGCACGTGGGTGGTCAGAGGACTAGACTCTGCTGCTGTCATGATCCACTGCAGAGGAGTTGACGGCTCAGCTTTGCCAGAAGATTTATTTCTGTCACAGTTACAGCCTCAAGTAACAAAAACTATAAGTAACTGCACTGTAATGGCAACAACACTAAAACACTGCAAAATGTCATGACCCCCATAGAGTTGTCATGTGAATGTGAGTCTGGCATTTTGATGCGTTCTACTTCTTGGAGCTTAAAGGCAGCTTATGGATTTTACATTTAAAATATAAATAAATATCAGTATATTGGTCATTGAAATCTCTTTTGACCTCTTCTGGATATAGAGGGACCACAAGAGGGGTCCCAACCCAAAGACTGAGAAACTCTGAAGCATTTTTTTGTGTAGGAAAACTGTCTAGTCAACAACAGCCACATGCAGATTAAAAACCAAAAAGTAAAAACTGCAGAGCCCTGACGTTCTGGTGGCACCTAACTTAAAGAGCATTAGTGCAGGCAGCAGAAGCCTCATGTCTCAGTAAGTTTCAGAGGAAACTTACCTCTGTCCAACGGTGCCTCTCTGCTGCAGCAAGTTCATTCAGGTCCCAAAACTTATGCAACCAGTTGTAACCGCTCTGCACACGCCCACTGCTCAGACACTTTACCCAGCATGCATGGCAAACAGAATTGGGGTCAAAGGTCATCCTGGGACCAATGAATCATTAAAACCAGTTGAGGGAGCAGTTTTCCTCCAGTAAACATGTGAGTCGCTGTTTGATTGTGATTGTTCATACATGATAAGGTTCTGTGTAACCAGCCTCAGTGGAAAGTTCTTTAATTATAGTTCCATTATTTAATTTAACTTTTTACAGTAGGATAAACAGGCTGGACGTGTTCTAAAAAAAAATGTCACAAAAGTGTCACCTACACAAAGCCAAGCTTCACTGCTCCACTTTCTCTCCTCCAAGGGCTGTTTTGATTATTTCCAACCTCTGACTTCACTTTGCAGAGGAACGGAAGAACCATCAAAATATATTACTTTTAATATTGGATTCGATCATAATGCCACAATAATCTTAAATACAAACAAAAATGACACAATCATAACTTTTATTATGCACACAAAACTCCAACCACACCTCAATTTTATGAAAAATATCTTTACTACACTCACATTGAAATAAGTTCAATTCAGCACTGAGAACAAACACAAAAGCACCAATAGCAGAAACTACAGTGACACTGAATGAAGCTCGTCATATTTCCAAAATGACCTTCAGTCACAGGATTTAATAAAACATTTGTAGCGCCATTTTTTGAAGTTTGAAATGTAAAGTATAAAGAGCCACTAGTGTACACATAAATAGTTCAAGTGTAATTGACAACTGAACTGACAAAATTTACATGAGTGCTCCTGACATATTTACAGTCCATCATGGGTTTGTCCGGCTTGGTGAAGACGCTAGAGGAAAAGTCTGTGTGTGTTTACCTTGGCAACAGTTTGGTGGCCGTGCTCTCCATAAACCAGGCACCAGAAATCTGGTGATCGTGGCCGAAAATCCAAGTAAATTATGATGGAATGACGAAACAGTTAGTGTTGAAAGTAAGGAACATAGTAAATATTACACAATGTGTATTTGCACAGGGTTAATTAAAATAGGCTAGTGTGCAGCACAGAATGGGACAATGGGAAGGCAGACTGTTTAAGCTGCTAAGCTATTCTATCTGCCCAACTGATAGTTGAACTTGTGCAAAGCCAACTGTTTTAGCTACTGAACTACTGACTAACCCAAACCAAACTATTTCAAACACTGAGCTAAGCTAACTTTAACCGTTTTATCTGCTACTGCAAACCAAACCATAAAACTGAACTGCCTGCTATAAATGGGACCAAATGTTTACATTTACTCATATTATCATTCCATGGTGAAAAATTTTTACCTTCCATTTATATAATTAGGTAATTTTTTTTAATCAGAGATTGTCCGTATTTCACTTTATAACCAGTTAAATAGTATAATTTAACCAGGATCTCATAAATAATAATAATAGGAAGGTCTAGACCTTACTTTGTAGAGTCTTGAGGAGACTTTTGTTGTGATTTGGCGCTATACAAATAAAACTAAATTGATTTTAATTGAATAAAGCCATGCTCCCCCAATCTTAACACTAAACCATAATGTGGTCACACGTAACAACAGGCCCAGTGAAATCAACATTGGCAAGCAGCTGCCAGCTGATGCCACACGAACTTTATTAACATAGATCTGACAGGATGATAAAAGACTTTTTAGGTATGGATGTCTAATTTGTTTATATAACTGTAAGTGTACAGTGTGTAATTATAATCATAAAATAAAGGGAAAAAACAAAAATAGCTGACTAAAATATATGAAACAAAAGTTCTGCAAAAACTCTGATATACTGTGCTTGATGAAAGCACAGACATGTAGTTATGTTCCATGTGTCAACAGCATGGAGGCCAAGCACATATGATTTTGTTGTCAGTGGAAAACTGAGAAGACACAACAAACTGACAGCGATGGGCAGATTCTGGTGTGGAGGAGACTCGGTTCAGTGTTCTCGTGTTGCCAATGCCTCTTCAAAGCGTCTTCCATCCAGTTCAAGCTTCTGATTCTGGAGAGCAAACAGAAAGAGAAGCGTGAAACAACACATCAATGAATCTCCAGGATGCAAACAGAGTCTACGAAATATGAAGAGTCATGTCAGAGAGCACATCAGTTCAAACTATTCCTTTTAAATTTGATATTAAATGCAGTTTAACTACAGTATGTCAGTTAAATGTAGTGTAATATTCTGTTATGATTAGCTTTTAGTAATTTTAACTAAAAGCTAAGGCCACCAGAAACACATTTAGAGATTCTACCCAGGTTTTATGGTTAAAGAAACAAATTCATCTCATCAACCAAAGAAGCTGAACAAAAAGTTTTGAAGTTTTCAAGAAAGTAATGGAGAAGTCCATGGGAAAATTGTATCTTCTTGTAGCACTGGAAACCTAATGCACAAATAACCCTCGGATATTAACTTCCCAGTGTGTAAACAGCACTTTACATCAGTGTTGACTGTGTTCCAAAGCTTACAGAAGCTGTTGGTCTCAGTTCATCTCACGGCTCTATGGAGGGCAACTTCCAGATACTTAAAAACATGCTGCAGATAGTTAATTCCCCCGTTTTTTGTTATGTTACTGTTACATGATTGCGACCAGGACTGTCTTCAAGACTGCTGCTGCATTTAAGGGCACTCTGACATACAGTACATCTGTGTGATGCTGAAAGACTCTCATACACTCAAACTTCCTTACATGCACTACCCTGATGATGACACTAAATCAAAAGTTAAGAGATCACTAAATATATTACAATTCATCTTCTGAGTACAATGAACGTCTTTACAAACATTTTATCCACTAGTTGTCAAGCTGTTTCAGGCCAATAAAAAGTAAACCATTTCCCTCTACGTGGTAGTGGAGTAAAAGTAAATGGAACATAAAATGAAAGTACTCTAATAAAATACCAGTACCTCAAAGTTGTACTTCAGTACAGTACTTGAATAAACGTATTTAGTTACTTGCCACATCTGTGTACAATATTTCAGCCTGGACACAAGTGGTGGGTTGGCTGAGTGACCACCCAGAGGTGGTGGTGAAGTTAAACTACAACTTCCCTGTGAGCTGTCAGTAGGACCCAGTGGGTTTGGGACGACTGCAGACAGCGTGGGGGAGTCAGGCAGTAAACAGACACCACCATGTCACTGCCCTGTGTTTACAAAAGCCAGTAACACCAGTTTTACTTTTTAATAGCCTAACAGCAGTAAAGTGTCTCATACCTGAGCTGCAGCATCACAGGTCGTCCTCCAGATCAGACTGATGCTGCTTTATCTGGAAACAGAAAACACACTGCAGTCAGCCTTCATTAATGCATCCTGCCTTCCCTCTCCTCCTCCTCATCACCGCAGCCTCAGCTCCACACACACATTTCTCCCCACAAACCATTAAAATTCTCTGTTCATACTAACGCACACAGACAAATGGTAATCACTAACACACTTATTCACAAACTTCCTCCTGTCGGAGGAACAATGCAGCAGATTAAGGGCCGGTCTGTTCCCTGCCTCCGCTCAGATTAATGAGGCAGCTCTGCTCTGTCAGCCAGGTAGGAAGCCTGCAGGCTAATTCTATATCATTATGTTTCCCTGTAAAGAAACAGAAAGACTGAAGGCACCGTTCCTTCGCTCAGCTGGTCTGCTGCACACCGGTGTGAATAAAAGACCCACGAGGCGATCGTAAACACGCCATCCAGCGAGACGCACTGTGACTGGTATGTAAAGTTGCATCAGCTCGACTCAGATACTCTGATGACAGTGGGTACAAGTGAAGGGGTGGATGGGGCGGATTAATGGTATCCCTTAAATTCACAGCAATACTCTCTTCCTTCCTTTTAAAGAAGCTGTTTCAGTTATTTCCGAAGCCAAACTGCCAGTAACACAAACACAACTACTTGTCTGTGCATGTCCTTTTTAAATCTCTGCCTGAGGCTAAAACAAGTAAATGATAAATCAGCAACTATTTTAATAATTTAAGCCATTTTGTCTGGCAATAATATAGGTTTGCCTCCCAGTTAAGATTTTCTGCTTTTCTGTGTAAATGAAAAATTTTGAGTGACTGTTGGTCAGAGACTGTAGAGGAGGTTACTTTGCCCTTTGATTGATTGATTTAACTATTTTATGACATAAAATAAACCAAATCAATGAATGAACTGAGTAACACATGTATGATAAACAGAGATGCAGATCAGTTGCATCCCTGTGCTGAGCGGACTGGTTGTCCACTAGAGGGCAGTGGTGCATTACCCTGGACAGTGGAGCTGCCTGCAGAGGGCGCAGTGAGGTGCGGGTGTAGTTAGGGGTAGCTACTGGGAAGTGTGTGTGGGATAGTTAGGCGTCCTGTGGGGTGGTGGTTGTTGCAGCAGTAGGAAGATGACACATTTAGCCTGTGGGGCAGCAGTGGAACAAGTACTCAGGTTCTTAGTTAAGTAACAACAGAAATATCCCAGGGTAAAAATACTCTATTAGAGGTAAAAGTCCTGCATGCAAAATGTTGTGTAAGTAAAAGTACCAAAGTATCAGCATCCAAATATACTTACATATTTAACCTATGGGGGGAGTTAGTGAGGGTGGTAGTAGTACAGTAGCATGTATTTACCCTGTAGCTGTGGGGGTAGTAGTACTGGTACTGCAGGGGCTCGTCCTCGCTGGCCTCTCCTGGTTCAGGACTTTCTCTCTCCAGGCTGCTGATTAGTCCATGGTGAGGAGAGTCCGACACACTGGGCTCCCTGCTCTGAGGGCACTCTGACACACACACAAGCATTAGGAGAGAGGGTGACATTACTGTAGGTACTGGGTACGTCCCAGTCCACTGGCTACAAGTAGTAAAGTGCAGACTTAAGAAATGTATTTCCATTGGCGACCTCCCGTGTCTGTTAAGACTGCAAACAAGGTTTAACAAAGGTCACTGGGACTTATGGGATTTTTGGTTCAGTTAAGGCTCAGATGCTTTATTGGTTTGATTGAATTTCATCATAAAGAACAAGTAAGTAGGATGAACTACTGGGTTTACAGTGGAACACAAGTAAACACATTCAGAAGGATTATTATCATTTTAAAAAGAGCTGAATATGCTTTAGAGACACACGGATCCACTGCACATAGAAAAGATAGAGGGCATGTGGTTATTTAGAATGCTTCAGGGAAGGAAAATGTTTTGCAAAATTTAGTTTGATTTATTTGACAGGACTGATACATACATATTGATTACTTTCCTGATACTATACTCATTCATCATGGGGCAGTCGCCTGGAATGTGTCTGGAGGAATTTCCTGCCATTTTAATGTATGTGAGCCCATCAGCTGTGTAGTGGCAAACAGCCATATTTAACTGCTGTAATAATCCACATCAAGGCAAGAAACGCTCAGCTAAGAAGAATCAACAGAAGGTCAGTCAAGAACTCTGTGTGAATCAGGCCTTCATGGTCAAACTGATGCTATTGAACCGTGGCTGAGGGAGACCAGCAAGAAGCAGAGGCACAAAGACTGGACATTAGACCAGCAGGAATTGGTCTGGTGAGTCCACACTAGAGATCGTTGGTTGTGCGGTGCCTCAGTGAGACACAGGGAAGGTGAACGACACATGGAGCAGGAGGTGTGATGGTGGGGGGGAGCTTTACTGTTCACACTGTTGGTGATTCATTCAGAATTCGAGGCACACGTAACCAGCATGGCCACCACCTGTGGTGAAACAGCACCCCATCTGGTCTGCACTTAGTGGGACCATCATGACCCATAAACACACCCCCAGGTTGTGTGAGGGCTGTGTGAGCAAGCAGGATCTCCCTATGCCAGGGGGCCTGTCCTCCACAGTCACTCAGCCTGCACCCAGCTGAGACGCTCTGAGCTGGGCCACAGGGCACGCTCCTGCTGGGGAAGCTTCCCAGGTGACTAGCTCACAGAGATGGCTGAGAGAAGAGTGTCAAGGCAAAAGGTGGATCATTTAAAGACGCTGAAATGTCAATACATCTTTGCTTTGTTTACATTCTTTTTCTCACTACCCCTTGTGTCATCTCCTCTCTCTCCCTATGCTTCTATATGCCACCATTACACATTACTAACTTTGTGTCTCCTCTCCCCCATAGTGTGTCCTCTCTCTGTCCCTGTACCTTTCTGCAGGTTGCCCTGGCCCTGGAGCTCTACATCTCTGATGAGCAGTCACCAGCCACATCGACCTGATCAGTGTTTGATTGTTGTGTCTTGTTGCTTTTCTTCTTTTGTCTCTCCTCTATCCAGTCACCCCAACCGGTCGAGGCAGAAGGCCGCCCACCAAGAGCCGGGGTCTGTCGGAGGTTTCTTCCGTTAAAGGGAGTTTTTCCTCCCCACTGTCGCCAAGTGCTTGCTCAAGGGGGATTTGTTGGGTTTTCCTTATGTAATAATAGTGATAACAGTAAGGTCTAGATCTTACTTTGTAAAGTGTCCTGAGATGACTTTTGTTGTGATTTGGCGCTATACAAATAAAATTTGATTTGATTTATTTCATAGTTGTGGTTTCAGTGTTGAACTATAATGTAGAAACCAGTAGAAACAAAAACAAAAAAAAAACACTGAATGAGAAGCTGTGTCCAAACTTTTGACTGCTTCGCATTCTCTTGTAAATGAGCAGTGTGTCTTTCATCAGTGAAAATGAATTCTACAGTTTTTAAAATGACTTTATAGGTAAGACAAAGACCTGCTAGCCAGTAGCAGGAACAACCTACTTCACACTGAAACATAACCAGTCAAAATGCTGGTCATACATAACCTAAAACCCCTCCACACTCTTACCCTCCATGTCTACAGGCACATCACTAGGTCAGTGCAGACTGGGCTTCCGACATGGAGCAGCAGCTTATGGCTCTCAGAGGTTTTCCTCGAGGACCGCAACTTGTCACTACACCGTCGAACAGACTTCTAAATTTTAGTGTTGGAAATGTATCAAATAAACAGAAGTAAAGAACATCACCATGTCACTTTGGATCATTTCCTCATCTTTTTATCCTTGCAAGGATTTTTTTTCTCTTTCAAGAGAGAAATAAAACCACCACACGCACACACACACACACACACACACGGTCGGTTGATGACCAGATAACTCCTGAGCACTGAAGGGGAGCTTATGAAAGGTTATGAGGCTGCTGTTTATCGCTGTTTACCTCGCTGTCATAATCCACGCTCCACTGGCGGCAGTTCTGTCATTGAACCATTACTCACAGATGCAGTGTGATAGCGGATCACATCTGATGGTAAACACACCGAGCCGCTCCGCATCGCCACACATCTCTGTGCGAGTCCCCCACAGATCATTTGCAATAATAAACTTCAGTTTAGAACTCAGTTGTTCTCTGGGTGGATTGGACCTGGATCAGACTGATGTATGAGGCTGATACTGTTCTTTTACTAACACTGGGGTCTCTGTCAGTGTCCACCGTCTCTGATGTCACAGACATGGCTTACAGGTTTATTAAAACCAGTTACAATCCAAAATCACCCCCTCTTCATCTGTCAACAGTTCAGATGAGCTCTTATGATTTGTCTATCAAATATAAACTAAATGGATTAACTATTCATAGTCAAACCCAAAAAACAACTCAATCTTTTCATTTCCATCTACAGTGTGTTGTAGAGGGCTGGTGCCCCGACTTTGCACACAGTGACAAAGTTCTTCCTGGGGTTAAACACCTGTTATCACTACCTTTGTCTTGGTCAAATACGTTGTTTTCAGTAATGGAAGTTTAATCTTTCAAAACGTGGAGTAAAATATTTGGAGCAATGGCCTCGATTCCAGACAGAAGCTGACAAAAGAAATGTCTGCCCCCAAACCTGGGTTTCCACACAGATGCATCATGTATTAATTTGTCATGTGTCCATGAAATGAAGGCACCCTAATGGACAGGGTGTCTCTACCTGAGCAGTCCTTCCTCTGCCTGTCCATCTTGTCCACACAGTCCAGCAGGCCGTCGATCTGAACCTTGATCATTGTCAATTCCTTCTTTATGGCAAGAAGCTCCGCCATCTTCACTGCAGAGAGACAGAGGAGAAGGGCCATAATATGAATACTGTATACGCCACTGCATTGACAAGAGTATATGGACAGAGTAATGCACTCAGGAGAGGCCACCCCTGTTTCTTTGTTCACAGCTGGAAGCTGCTAACGCAGCCTAATCTGCTGTTCCCCACTCCAGCTGGGGTTAAGGGCCTTGCACAAGGGCAGCGGTGGTGTTGAAGAGGGCGGGGAAGCTGTCCAACCTGCACAAAACCAGCTCCATAAACAAATGCTTTTTGTAGTTTGGCATGGAAGAACTTAACTGGTGTGCACAGAGCACTGACCCCACTCATCGCCTCTGGGATGAACTGGAACAGAGTGTGAGCCAGACTCATCTCCAGCAGCAGCGTTGGACCTCACTAATGGACTCAGTATCTGATAGAAGCACTTCCCTGAAGAGATCACAGGGGTCTACTGGTGCACATGTGCTGTTTAGCATGTCCCCATTTTCTGGCTGTCCATGGGAACAGAACAAAAACATTCACCAACAACATGGAGCAGCATGTAAACTCACTCGGAGCTGTTTTTTTTTTTTAAGTGTTGCGATGTGTTTCAGGAGGACTTTCCCTTCATAAGTGGGTTAACTGAGCACTCAAATAAGCATGGACCATGGTTTGGTTGTGGATGCAGCTGTCCTCCAGTGACCCTGCAGTCATCCGACCTGTAGTCCTGCACCACCACCTACGCTCCGCGCTGCACTCCCACCTCCCTCCAGGAGCCTTCGCCCTCACCATGCTCAGCGATGGATTGTTGCTGCCGCCAGCTCACCAAACAACCCTGAAAACTACTTCAACTCTTGGAAGCTTTTCGACCTCAGAAGCTTGCAAAGGCAATCTAATTTCCCTGTGATGAGGCGCAGTAAAAACTATTAAGGCTTGTAATAAACCAGTATAAACAATTCTTATTTGCCATGCACTATTAACTCAGTCTAATTGCGAGCGCTGATAGGTTCAGCTGGGTTATAGCAGGGAGGAGAGCCCCGCGGTACAGAAGCCTTTAATGAAGAGACCATCTGGCGCCCACCCCAGCACCGCAGGGCCCCACCACCGAGACGAGCCATCACACGGGGGGAGAGAAGGAAAGGAAACATCCTTGGAGTACTCCAGTTTTCAGGTCTGGGTCCTCGTGTGGGTTAGAAATGTAAAAGCCTGTAATTGAAGAGGATTGAGGTGTTGAACACGCGTGTGTGTTGTCCTCAGCCATCAGCAGGGCGTCGCAGACCTCTCCAGCTGGAAGCCTTTTAACATTCAAAGCCACACAAATGTCTCAACAGCTTCTGCCACAGGAAGCACTCACCATCATTATTTTTCTTTTTGACCTTTGCACTCGCAGCGTTGCAGTCCTAACCCTGGATATAATGATTTCTGATGCATTCATTTGGTTCAGTGAACACGCGAACCTCAGTGTGTAGACACAGGCGCACAGCATGTTGGCCTTGTAAGTACTGTATTCTTGAAAAATCAAAGCCTAACCTAGATTAATTATGACCTGTTGGCAGTAAACTGGAGAGTTACGTCTGCAAACAGCCCATGAGGATCATGAACGTAGTCAGAAAGGTTCAAGAATAGTAATCGTTTTATTTTGGGTCTGATTTTCTGGCTTGTGCACAAAGCTTATTTCACTGCAGACAGTCGCAGGTGTTGGACTCTGATCTTGTAATGGGTCTTTTTTGTCTTGAGTGTTGGATGCCCTGATCAACAGCCCACTTTATTTTTGCACAAGTTGCAGCGTCAGTCAGCAAAGCTTTGTTCTTCTGCTCCTCGTCTGCATCGATGGCTGCAGGTTTTCTCTTTGTCTCCATATTTCATAACCCTAAACCTACCCCATGCAACAAAGTGCCTGAGCTCGCACACTTGGCCAGTCAATACAGCTTTATAACCAAAGGTCTGAATGATTATGAGAGCTACTGGTTCAAATGTGAGTCATTTCTTTTTTACCTGACCTAGATAATATAAGGCCTGTAGCAGCAGCTGCTGTGTTGTCTGAACCAGTGCTGTGTCAAAGCTGACACAAGCTTTTTGTAATGTTTAGAAGAATAAACTGGATCAGGACATTTAGAGTTTTTAAACAATGTAGAACTGGTCATGCCTGTATAAAGATGGAGTCCAGTGTTACACAGGTAGGGTGGTGAATGTTAACTGGGTCCAGTATTTAAATAGGTCCAATATAAACATGACTTTTATGTTGATTACCAAAATGTGTAGGACTCCAGGCGTCACTATCGTTCCTACAGGAATGTACACACTGTCTGTAGAGGACAAAGCCCGACGTCTGGCAGAGAACTATTAAATGTAATAATGTGTCAGACCAGACAAGAAGGTACGAGACTAGTTGGCAGCTCGCCGTGCTGCACTGACACAGACTGTCTTACGTTTGCTGCTGGAGGAGGAGACGTGTGTGCTGTTGCTCCTGCTTGACGCTCTGCTGCGCTTCACCCTCAGAGCTGCTGTGGAGGAGGACGAGGAGGAGGAGGAGGATGAAGGACGGGGCCGTTTGACAGGACTGGGATCCACCGGGAATGAGGAGGGTACACGCTGGTAGTCAAACACCCTGCAAAACACACATACTCAAGCTTAAAATGCACAGTCCCATGATGCACCATGGCCCGAGGCTGCTCCTTTGTCTGTTGACTGTTTTATTTCTGTAATGGAGTCGAGGGTAATTTATTCCAGGAACAGATTTAATCTTTATGTTCCTAATAAAGTGCAGAGCAGGTCAGTTTGTGGCCGAGTTGAAGTAATTTATATGGAATTTAGTGGAATAGGGTTTTTCTTGAATAATGTTCAAACTACTAGGTTTTTGTGGACAAGGAATCATATGATGAGGGTCACACCATCATGGGGACATGGCGATTATGTGGAGTAGCATCATGGGGACAGCGGGCTGCCTTGGCCGAGGTCTGCTCTCTCCAAGTGCTGTCTAGTTAATTACTGATACGTTAAGTAACATTTATATGTGTTGGCTGGATTTAGTTTGATACTGCCAAGTACCTTCATCTAAAAATATCATTTAACTGTTATTATTTAGCATCGATAGCGTGACAAGCAGTTAATAACTGAAGCCGAGTAAAAACTACAATATTTCTTAAAGTAGTGGAGTACAAGTATATATTAATAGAAAATGGAAATACTCCAATAAAGTACCTCAAAATTGCATCTAAGTACTTGAGTACATACATTTACTTTGCACCGCTGCTTGCTAACATGTTAATAAATGTTCAAATACTATTTTCAAAAAGTGCCCTTATTTTAAAAGGTGATAAATCCCTGAGTTTCAGACTGAGATCACAGAGTCCGTTGATCATATGGAGCCAAAAACAGGGTAAAACAACATTGTTTTAAACGACGGGTGACTGGTGCTCTAATAAAACCTCCTGTGGTATCGTCACTTGCAGCCATTCATTTCTGTCTTCACAATATTTAAAACAAACACCTGCAGGCCCACGCCTATTTGGTCAGGGTAGCTGTGAGGCATTCTGGGAAATGTAGGAGACACAGGTAGATGGAAGTAGGTTAAACAGAAACTTTTAATCACCGCAGGACTGAACACCTGCTGGCGTGACTGACCTGCTGCCTCGTCCTCCTCCAGCTAAAGGTCAAACGTGCCAATCACATTAATGCAGAAAGAAGTTTATCATGAAAATATGCAACTATAGAGCAGCAGTATGAAGGTGATCCAATTACTGCGGACTTGACGGCCAGAATGCTAAAGCGTGACAGAGTGTCTCATCATTCATCCTCCTGTCCCTCTCATTCATACCAGCTGGCAGCGTTGGTGTATTCATCATGTTTCACTACCACCAGGCCTTAGTGTGCATGACGCTGAATGAACCAACAGCTTTTTCTGCATAGTTTACTTCTACATGTTGTACTTCCCAGGGGATTGTTTGTGTCTTTAAGGTCTGACTGCAAACCAACTGTCCTCGTGGATAACGATAAAACAGAAGGTAAAGTTTTTAGGACTCTTCTCAAACATGTACAGGGCTTCGATGTTTTCAGATGCAATGAAATACAAGATGTGAAGTTTGTTTCAAATCAAGAGTCTATTAAAGGATGTGTGATGTGAAGAAAGTCCATCCATCCATTATCTACACTGCTTATTCCTGAACAGGGTCATTCTCTCTGCTTATATATATCTTTTATTCCTATAAAAGCATTAAAATGATCTATGAGAGAGTTAATTGACATAGAATGTTCTGCCATTATTATGTATTTGCAGCTGAAAGACAACTGAAGGTGAATTTTAAACCTGCAGCAGCTGTTATCAGTGCGTTACCTGCTGGAGGTGAGCTGAAACTTTCTGCAGGCCAGTATAAGTTACAACCAACACTGATTCACTTAATTAACCGATGCCACGTTTCCTCCTTTTTCTACCGATCAGCGGTGCTGTGTCGCTGCTCGCTGACGCCTGTTTTCTCCTGCGGTCTGATAGAGTGCACTGTGCTGCGGGTGAGAACTGACTGACAGCTCCAATTTGATGCATTGAGCGATAGAGGCGGCGATGGGGAGCAGCCTTTCCTCTCCCTGACAACCTGTGCTGTCTATCACAGCAGCCATCTACAGCTGGAGGACAACTGACTGCAGGGGAAACATGAACACACTTCATCTTTTCCACCATCTCACACACCCAAATAAACACACACTTGCATGCACCCACTCGGCTCATCTGAAAAAATGCCTCAGTGCAGTGGGAATATACCTTTACACTTCAAAGGCCTGAGGGAAATGATGATGTGCGCCAGGATCAACATGTGCAGTGTTTATGTTTTCACCTGAAATGAAGCCCGTCAGGCGGCTCTGTGACCTGGGGAGTCCTCCATGTGTCTGGCTTTATCAAACAAGAGCTGGAACTCAATCAAATCTGGACTCAGCCAAAATCCAGACAAACCGTCACCATTTTAAAAATTTCTAGCAGCCAAGAAAATACCAAGTCATAAAAATACAGACATGTTCAATCATCAAAATGATTTTACATGAGATTTAATATCTCTGATGTTAACAAGACACTCACCTATAAAATCAGTGGGTTTACTTTTTAAAAAAAGCACAATTACAGGGTTTAACAGGAGGGGCACATCGCGATACAAAACCGGCTCTGAGTCTATGTTTCTAGGATGTGAGCCATCACACCTGAAACCATTTCAAGATTATGATTAATTATAAATTTTGGTTTAATGTGGACTTCTTTTTTATGCACCAGTAAATCCTAAATCCTACTTAAAACATGCACTTATTTTAAAAGACAATTCAAAAATACAGTGTTCAGGTTCAGTGGAAGGCTTTCATTAAAGAAAGACTGTACTGAAGAGAAGCTAAAAATACAGAAGGATCCTCGTCTAAAGACAACAGGAGGTTGTTCCTGTCACCTGCAGGTCTGATGCTGCCTCAGAGATCCCACTCTATTCTTATCTCCTTCTTAAACAGTTCAGTGTGTTTATGTCTTCCTGTGAAGAACTGCATGAGCTTGGCTTTTCTCCGTTCTCGTACAAACGTTTCAGATGATTAACGTGTGATCAGCAACCCTGTGATTTCTGCAGGGGTTTGACCAGCACGCACACTCAGACCTCCTGCTGAGCATGATGGGTGTTGAGGGGGGGGGGCTACTGTACCTTGCTAAGCTGATAATCCGCAGCCCAGCAGATAAAATGCCTATAAATATTTACAGGACAGCTGCGGCATTACATCCTGCATCACGTCACACAGGCTGGAATAAGGCTGACACACTGACACTGTGTAATTCTCCAGGAGAGAATGAATAAATCAGTGACTCGTGATCAGTCGTGACGCTCTGCAGCGTGAGAGACATCGGCTTAGAGGGTCAAACGTTCTGCTGCGTTTGGACAAACAGATGAGATCATCTGAAAGTGTTGACACCGACCTATGAAAGGTGTAGGGCAGTGCAGGGTTAGAACAGGTGAAACATTTCAAAATAAAACTTCCAGGGTTAGAACAAGTGAAACATTTCAAAATAAAACTTCCAGTTGGCAAAGCAGTGACCAGTACCAAGCCAGGTGGTTCAGGAGCTGTGCGGCTCAGCAACATGCTTTTCACAAAGTCTAGCAGCTAATTGTGTTGTTAAGAAACAACTCAACTCCAACTAGTTAACATGTATTGTTATTCAGATTATTAAGACTCTGGTCACAACA